ACAATGGCTGAGTTCTCTGCTGGGATTAGAGCTGCTGCTGTCCTCCTGGCCTTGTGGTGGTGAATGTGCTGCAGGCATCTGGTGAGGGAATTTTGAGACCACTTACTTTGAAACCACATTAGTTTAAAGTTATTTATAGATTTCGTACCAGAGAAGATATCCCCAAAAGAATGGGACACGGCATAGCTACAGTTGTTTTGATTAGCCAAGAAGCATTGCCGTCCAAAGGGGAATGTGGCTGGAAGCAATGAGTTAGGGGCTGCTAAAAAGGACAGTCGGTTCTAGAACGAAGAATAATGGAAGTATTTTAGACATAAATTTTATTGTTTGGAATTGGCCACAGGTGGCAGTAATTACAATAAAATTCTGGGATTTGAATATAGTCCCACCTTTTCAATGTGCTTCCAGTTCAAATTCAGGAAGCAATGACGAGATTTCGTTCAGTCGTTTAGGGAGTCTCCTAAATATATTTATGCTTATAGTGCCCCAAAACCCAGTGAATATAATTAAGCTGTTTATATCAACAACCATGATGAGTATTCTGTGGCAGAAACTAGATACTTAGGCATAACGTGATACAAGCAAATGGAATAAATGTAATACTATTTAAAATACATGTCCTAAAAACTGGTGCAGTGTAGTAGGACAGAGGAATGACCTTTATTGATATGTTATCTTTCAACTTGCTCATTTGTGATAAGTTCCTATCCCTAGCAGGGCATCTAACGATGATTAGGCCAATAGCACCCAATTTTAAAACAGTTCCTCCCAAACATTCTACTCTTTTGATCTCAGAATCACAAAGATTTTCTATTATTAACTGTGATGCTGGATTAGTGTCTAAAAGGGTATTTATAAATCTCCAAGAAAGTCCCAGTTGCCACCTTGAAGCTGATTAACAACTTAGTCCACATTTAGCATTGCTTCTTAGCCCTTTTTGTTCTTTCTGGTGTAGTTTCAATAATTTTGATCTTTTCTGAGCATATAGTGCAATTCTTTACACAGAGCATATCTTCAGCACAAACGAATATTGGCAGCTATGATGGAGAGGTGTAAAATATGTC